CATTTAACTAATGACTCTTGATAGCCACTTGCTTGTGCAATCAGATGAAGTTTAAATCCACTTGGTATTATTTACTTGAATCTTCCCATTGATATTAGGCACTGCAATTGATCAGTTTCTTATTGGCAAATGTGTATACTGTGTGTATTGCCTCGATATTGTCTTAATTGTCTTAATCAAAGTCATAGGTTAAAATTAGATCACCTAACTAGTGACCAGTAAGACAAATTTTATTTTTATTTACAAAGGTTATATCTGGGAGGACAAATAGCCACATTACTCTACAAAAGGTTACAAACTACAAGTGTTATATCTGATGATTATTCAATATGTTTTATTCAAATATACCATATGACTTTTTTTAAATCAATTAAATGTATATCTATGTTACTACCTAATGTTTCAGTACTACTGTATATCATTAACTTAGTTCACGACATTCACTTCTCCATGGAAATTGACTTACACTAAAAAAAATGATTAAATGAAACTCTACCTATATAATCAATAATAGTCATAATCATAATGTAATACATGATTGAATAACATAAATTGAGTTTATACAATCGACATCTTTGACATAGAATCATTTATTCATTAAATCTAAGATAAATCTAAGATTATAAATAGTAGGTTTATACACAAACTATTCATAACCCTTCATAACTAAGTAAATCACAAGTAAATAATCATAGCTGACAAAACATCATCAACAACAACAACAATAAAGAAGAACACACTACCAAATTACATTTACCTTCAATTAGAATATGAGATTATCCTTCGTAATTTGCATTACAGTGTATTCTGTAATCGGTATCATTTCAGGTAAATATTATGAACGGTCGTTTTTTTCCGCTTTAAACTGTTATAAACTAAAGTAACCTCAGGTTACTTAATATAAGTTACTTTTAATTATTTATTTGATCATTGAATAGGAATATATCTTAATTGAATTAAATCTTTCTAATTGTTATAATCATTCAATCACGTCCATAGCAATCATTGTAACTTAGTAGAGTAATGATATAACTCTAGTAGATGGTAATGGAATAATGAATTACAGCTTTATACAACGTTATTAACAATAAATAAATCGGTATAACTTAAAATTAAATTATTATGTTTATATCTGTTAGTACAGTCAGATGACCTAGTTATTCTATCCCATACACATCAACGAATTGAGATAAAGACAACCAGTGTAATAGTAGTCTCTGAATTAGTAGGCTTCAACATATACAAAGGGAAAGGCAAAATCCTCAAATATAAACGGAGAACATCAATCGAATCACATTTGATAGAGAAGCTATCAAAGAGCTGGAAACTCTCATGTACCTGAGTAGCATCATTGATGTACAAGGAGGATCTGATGCAGATGTAATGGGAACGATTAGCAAAGCATGGGTAGCATTCTTACAGTTGAAGAACACATGGAACCCGAAACAACTGATAGCTAACATTAAAGTCAGAATCTTCAATACAAACGTCAAAGCAGTTCTACTGTGAGGAGCTGAAACTTGGGGAACTAACACAACCATCATCAAAAGGGTATGTTTACACAAGAAACTCCAGATCAGTTAGCCAGATACCATTAACAATGGCCTACTGTGACAAGGAACAAATCAACTTGCAGCTGAAGAGGAAATTAGGGAAAGACATTACAGGCGGATAGGACATACATTGATGAAACCACCAAAGTTCATGACGTGACAAACTCTAACTTACAATCCCGAAGGGAAGAGGAAAAGAGATAATCCAACGAACGGTGATTGGAAGAAGACGTGGAAAGAATCAATAGAAACTGAAAACAATTGTAAAGTGTTGCTAAGGACAGAGTTGGATGATGAATGCTGATAGTTGGCCTATGCTCCTCCACGAGGGGTAACAAGAGTAAGAAAGTGAGTACAGCCAAGAAAGAAATAATTCTATGGAGATTATAGTTTGCTTAGAAAATAATTCATAATTTATGGTTTTATGTTAATCTATTACTTTCATTATAAATGCAGTCTTATTATTTATTTCACAAAAGTAATAGGAGACAACGTATCGACAACTGCTACTTTAACACTGCCCATCATTTCATGTAGGAATTCTTATCTTCAAACAATATTATTGGTGCCAATGCATGTTGAAAAGTGTAAAATACGACAATAAGCAGGAGGTATGCATATATATTGTGAGAAGCCACGAAGCGTTTACATGTACATAACCTTCAATTGTCCATTTGCATCTTTTGGTGTGTTCTACCATCTGAATTTTCTTCTTGTCTGGTCTCCAAGTGTTCCGTCACTGCCGTACTTTTAATACGCTGAAAATTTTCACTCCGTCTGATAATCATTACAACCTTAATAATGCGCTCTACAACACATTACTTGTAAACATCCTCGTGGGTAGTAGTATCTACTACAGTAGTTTATAAAAATTGTAATGATAACACAAATTAGAAAATCGCTTGTTATATCTATACAAATACTGAATAAATATATTGAATAATGAATGGTACTGGATGACAAATGAAAATAGGTAAACTTTTATATTTTATAAAACATACAAGAGCTTCTCAATCTTTATTATGAATGTTATTCTTATATTTAACTGTTACCTTTAAACTGTGTTTATTTTTCACTTTTTCTCTAATCATAGTGACGAAGATTGATGCACAGACGACTACTACTAAAAAACCACCTGCCTCATCAGGTAGAAGTTATTAAACACATAGTAACAAGATATTTTAAACCAAAAAATAAATAATACGTTAAAGAGGAAGAATGTATTTGTACAATCTCAGCCAATGAATTCGAAGTAAATTCAACTTTCAGCCTGTCAATCTGGTTCAATCTTTTTCATGGAAAGCTTGTACCAGATTGCCAGGCAAAACGTTTGATTTACTTTGAATTCATTCTCTGAGATTTTACAAATATATTCTTTCTCTTTAATATCTCATATCGACTCGGTGTCCAAATACTGTGAAATTATTCAATCAAATTTAGACGAAAGTTCTTATTTAAATAATACATTATTTACACCCATTGGTTGAAAACATTCATTCCAGGATATAAAATTCATTTGATGACAATAATATATTTGCATTGATTTTATAACATAATAATCTAAATAGTTGACTTACTATTGAACCTTTCTTCGTTTTGTTTCTTTCTTTATTTTATTGACTAATGTAAAAATATAATGACAAAGAATGTATGAACGAACAATTATTTTCATCATTAGGCTCGACAGTTACAAAGACTACAATAAGGCATGTTTGTGAATATGTGTCAAATTGGTTGGGAAAAGTAGTCACCAAATCTATGAACAACCTTATTCTTTCTCACATTGTTAGATAATGAACATCATATTAAAATAAATGAAATCTTCACTGTTTCATATCAAGTTCCTAACAACCTATCTAAAGGAGGTAGATTATGTCACATCTACATAGCTGAATCCATCCGGATCAACTCCAGGAAATCCAACTTATGTATCCAGAAGAGATATATCTAGCCTCTATGTTTACGTTAATCTACGACTAAATCACCAGATGTCTAAACTTCTTCTCCCCTTCTAAATTCATTTTGTGTTTATATCTTTCTTAACCTACAGATTCATCTTTCCCAAGTCACATGAATTTTTTGTCATAATTATATCGATGATTCCTCTCTTATTATATATTATATTCACACAACGTTATTATTATTACCTACATTAATGAGGCCATTTATTTTATTTGTTTATTTGAACACACAAATATTAGTACAAAGCGGCACCAAATACATATGCTCCACACAAATGATTCGATATGTATGGACTGTGATACTGCTCGAGTGCCAAGATGGAAGCAAATGGTTTTCTTAGGGGGTCACATCCGGAGCTTTCGACATAAAGGTATAATCAAAAAGGCAGTGCAGCAACATCAGGAGATGAAATCCCGTAGTATTCGGTGACCAACAACAGGTTCATACGCCATTTTTTCACTCAGGATCTTAGAGCCCATGTACACCATTGGATTGTAATCAGAGTTCTTCAACTCCACTGAGTGGACCCTCCATATCCACTGACCCGGTTAAAGCGCCGGATGTTCGCTTTTCGTCCTCCTAATTTCGTAAATAATACGTCTGTCGCGAGATGGCAGTGAGCAGGACTTCCCTGGCAGTGGTTATTTACTCGTGACCATGTGAGAGCGTTTCGAAAAAGAGAGCGGACTCTGCCCACTCTCGGTCGTACCAAAGCATTTGAGTACTAATTCCTTACTATACATTTTATTCACATGACTTATTGTATTACTGTAATATAAGTTGACACATTTTTGCGAATCATTCTGACAATTATGAAACGACTTTTCCAATTTAAGTACTTATGTCATAACAGATGTAAAAGTTCAGTACTTTCAAAATATAACATTGTCAGATTCATTAATGCATTATGCATTAATGCATATTTTGGCCTTTGTAAAATATCATAATATTTATAACTGTAGAGTCTGATGATGAAAATAATTGTTCACATGAATATTCTTTGGTTTTTGAATATTCTACGACGATTGTTAAACTGCTAAAAATATGATTTTGTGAAAAGTTCTGATCTCAATTTTACTATTAAACTTACCTGTTATTTATCTTCTTGGCTTTTTTTTATAAAAGGAAAGGGCACCGGATCTTTAACGACTGATAAATCGGGAAGATACATTTATTCAGGTAGGATTTATCAATAATTGATAGTTCAACTATGTTGGGCATGAGACAGTTATTTACCATAAGGAATGGAAGATAGTCTTGATATATCGTGATTTAGTTTAGGTTAGAAGTATATACCATTAGATACTATTTTTGATATATCTAAGTTCATTGTTTTCGCCCACGATCGAAGGTTGTAGATTGGATTCCAAAAGGTAGTATCGTGGATACTCAATACTGAAGAGTTCCATACTAGGAGGAAGCTGTTGTTTAGTGCTTCCATGTCTTTATTGACAGTCTAGCTATAGTAAATTTAAGGTATACACTATGACTACTGTTGTAAACAAAAATCATCATATCTATATTTGTACTATAGAATGGAGTGAATGGGAAACCGAGTTTGAATACGAAGCAGAAAGAGAGAAAAGCAAAGGAAAATCATCAACTGAAGAACCAGGTAAAACGGGAAAATACATCTTTTTCTTATTCCATTCTCATGTATTTGTAGTTTACACATTTTTTTACTGCAACATTTATTATATATTCAATTGTTTCTTAATAGAATGGGAAATTATCACAGAAATTTTGACAGAAAAGATTAAGAAAAAGACTGAAATCGGTAAGCTTTTGAATGATTAAGATGAATCACCATATTAGGAAAATAAACTCCAATAAATTACTATTTAATAAACAATTAAAACTAATTTCAGAATAATGTGAATGATCATATTCTAATATATATAACACCATTGGATGCCGGCTCAGTGGTCTAGTTAGTCAAGCGCCTGGCGCGAGACTGACAGGTCGTGGGTTCGAATCTCGCGAGGTGTGGGATCGTGGATGCGCACTGCTGAGGAGCCCCATACTAGAACGAAACGACCGTCCAGTGCTTCCAGGTTTTCCATGGTGGTCTAGCTTCAATTGATACATGATTTCAATCTGTGAAATTTCTAAAATCTCCACAAACCCCTTCTGATAATAATCATCTGCTCAATAGTGACTGCCTTCAAAAGATAGTCCTGGAGTTCTAGTGCGAAGCCGTTACCAGTGTGAGAAATTAGAATTATGATTTACAGTTGATGGTTAAGGTTAGAAATTAGATTTCGGGTTTTCATCACGAATTGACATCAGCTATAATGTCAAAACCCTATTTATCCGCATGAATGAGTGGATTTCACGCCAAACATCGAGATCTGTTATTTTATACTTGATTGATTCGTCCATAAATTATAGTCTCGCCGAAATAATTTCATCTGAGTAAATAAAATAAGGTATAAACTTATGTACAAACGGTGCTAGACAATAGAACAAATGAAAATCACTTAGAATCAATTATCATTAATCAAAACTGAATACATAAAGAATAATATGATAACTAATACAGTGAAAACAAGATATTAGGAATATCAGAAGTGGTTTTTGTGGTTATTATAGTATTTTAATAGTTGAAATCATAAGTCAATTGAGACTAGACAACTATGGAAAACCTGGAAGTACTGAACAGACGTTTCGTTCTACCATGAAACTCCTCGGTTAATGAAAACATGTTCAGTGTAAAACATAGTCATTAATATTGTTTGAAAAGACAAAGTAAATATTAAATAAACATAAAAACAAATATTTTTTAGAAATAATCAATAAGTTAGAGACAAATCATACAAAAGTACAATTAAAATTAGTTTATTTAAAGCAGTATAAAAGCAGTTAAACGTTTCTTTCACAGTTGAATTCATCTAGAAGTACTGAACGACTCAATAGTCTAAAGATCAATCGTCCATCCATGAAACCTAAGGTCCTGAATTCAAGTTCTATGTTCGACTACCTTAGACGCACATTGTTAAAGAGTCCCATACTAGGACAACTCTGGTGTTTATTATTTCCAGGTTCTTAATAGTGATCTAGCTTAGATGAACTCATGAATTCAATTGTGAGAATACTACAGTCTCCACAAATTCTCATACTGAAAAAAATTTTTCTTGATAAATCCAACTAAAATCTAGCAATAACCTAATCTTGGATTTACATTATTATCTTAGAGACTATAAAAAGAAATCACAAAAAAGGAAGTTGAAACAGGCATAATTTATCTAACCACAATCATTACACATTTTTACACGCAGAGCTTTGATCTACACATGTGTAGATCGATCAACATTCACTTTTTAGAACTAAACTATTTATTCAAATTGTCTTAAGTAGTGTATTGATTCATAAAGAATTAAAGGGGGGATCACCAATTGTTTGATTAGAAACAGTTAAATGGTAACTAAATGATGTTTCAATCATCACAAACATTTTTGTTCTCAATTAACAAATATTGTTCAGTAGAATTAAGAAATGATAGAAATTAATGACTAAACTGTTAATTGCTTTAAGTTAAACAGAAATACACAATCCCAGTATTTACATAGTAAACATTATGAATATGAAGTCTAACTATTGAATACTTTAACATTAATTGATGTTACAGTATATGATTTGCTTTCATAGAAGAAGAAATCACGAAAAAAGGAGGCAAAACTGATCCGAAGACGAAAACAGAAATTGGTAATGTAGTATATTTTAGATTCTAAGCATAATTGGGTGGTGGTTAATGATGAAGCACAAAATGTGCGCGTTATTCTACTTGTAAATCCTAGTGCTATTGTTCAGACTGGGACTTAAACTCAATACCTATAACTTTAAATGGTTAGAGTGTTATTCATTTTGCTACTGTGTCCAGAGAGGTGTTGTGTTGAGCAATCGGAATAAATTTTAATTTATTTGTAATTATAATTGCAATATTTTACTTGGTGTCAAGGTTATCCAGCTGGCGAGTCCAAAATGGCATGAAACATGTATCTTATATACCACAGTTGTACACTATCCAAATTTACTTAAAGTGTTTGTAACTTAATGAAAATATAGTGACAATCTGACCAAGAGAGACCGATGAAAATTTAGTTACTAACATCAACAGGAAGATTGAAAGAACAATGAGAAGACGGAGTTGATCTGAAAAATGTGATGTATTTGCACTATACATTTCGAACAATCTGGTCACACATATACTTGTCAGGTCATTTTATATGAAAATTAATAAAGGTCAATTAAATGAAAGTTCAAGTAAAAAAGTAACAAAGAGGAGAGAAACAATTTTACTTCGTATAGAAAGAATATGAAATTGTGGAGTTATCCTAGGCTATAGAATAACTTAAGTATTATCAAGGTAAATTCAGTGTAACGACAAATTGTCTTTGTACACGTAAGGTGTAATTTCATGTAATTGACCTTTATTAATTTTCATATAAAATGAACTACGTCTTCACATTGTTCTAACGGAATTTATAAAAGGGACTAATTGCTTTAGACTCAAATAACCCTTACAAATAAATTGATATTTGAAATTAATTGTGTTCAACATCTTATTAGATGTTGTTGATGAAGAACTCCGACTATTTCACTTGTGTGTGTTTTGAATGCAAACCAGGCATGATAGACACGATCAATGCTGAACTGAAACTAACTATCACAGAAAACTTAGCTATATCGAGAGCATTTAAATAACCTATACGTTTATTCACAATAGTCAAATCGTCTATCCGAAAACTAAGCAACCATTGTACTCCATTGGTAAAGTAAACAAGTCAAGCAGCTGTGTATGTATAATTTTACATAGTTGAGCTCATAATAACTACCTTTAAGTTATACTATTCATAAAACGATTCATATTACAATAAGTATCGTTTAACAGGTTGGCTTTATAGTTAAAAATCTTTTTACGCATCGATTATTACTATAATGTAAATTCATATATGCATCTACTGATTAGTTCCATATTATGTTGAATAGGAAGTATTGGGAAATTAATCCTTATTATCCTAAATATACGAAATAATATTCACTTCTGTAAAAATAAAATTACGTAAAGTATAAGTCATAGTCTATGTATTAAATCTGAGGATTGATTAGCTTGTTCATAATTGTAATTGAATTATGTGATTTCATTTTAACAATTAACTTACATTAATTTCATAGAGACTATAGAAGAAATTACGAAAAGAGGTGGAAGAGGTCCAAGGACGAGAACTGAAATAGGTAATGAATTCTCTTATACATATTGTTCTTCTTGTATTGTTTGTAAGTAAATAAATTATAATTGTAGTGTAATTAGCTATTCGAAAACTTCCTTAGTTCTCATTCATTCCTGTATAGATGCATTTTAAGTTAATCAGTTGTTAGCTAGACTCTGTATTAAAAACAAGGTGGTTTTAAAATCTCACACAAAAGTTTAAGACATACAGGCTTCAATAAGTCACACATAAATCATCGATAGTTTTCTAACAAATTTAAACGAACTGATAGACTATAACAAAATCATCAATTCTTATAATTTTTATAGAGACGATTGAAGAAATCGAGAAGAAGAAAGGTGGAACAATCCCGAAAAAGACAGTAGAAATAGGTAATGAAATATGTATGATAATACTGCTAATAACATAACTGCTCTCCAATTTCTTTGCAATCCTCATTATTTTAATCTTTCATTGGTACGCATTTCACTTTCGATTGCTTCTACATACTACTTAACTTTGTCAGCAGATGTAGCATACACCACATAATGAACTTCTAACTGATTACTATTGTAGAGAAAACATTAGTAAACTGACCATACTCACTATTGATTTCGTTTGGAACTGTACAACTTTTACATTAGAAGTAATTGAGAAATAGATCTAATCACTTAACTTGAATTGGCAATGAGTTTTTGGCGAATATTTATCACACTCAAGTTTGTAATTTGTGATCAGTTTTGATCATAGTCATGAACACCATATTAATTATGTTGTTTTATTTGTGCCTCAGAAACAATCGAAGAGACGAAGAAGAGAGAAGGTGGAACAGTGCCGAAAAAGACAATAGAAATAGGTAATGATATATGTATGCCTAATCGAAATTCCCTGAATCATGCCTTGATAAATTCGTTATTTATCAATTATGTTTTACTTTGTATCACAGAAACAATCGAAGAGACGAAGAAGAGAGAAGGTGGAACAGTGCCGAAAAAGACAATAGAAATAGGTAATGATATATGTATGCCTAACCGATATTCTCTCAATCATGTCTTGATAAATTCATTATTTTCATACAAGCTTCAGATACTAATTCTTTCTGTGTTGTTTGATGAATACCATATTTATATGAAAAGTGATAACTGAGTGCTCATATACTCATTTTTGTGTTCTCAATTAATAGACTAGGATTAATGAAGAATCAAATGATAGTGATATTGAAATCAATAAGTTGGAATGAACTCAATGTGTTTGAAATGTTTTAGAAATTGTTTTGACTATTAGACTGTTAACTGTCAGTTAAGACCAACTGATAAGTAATGGTTGATATTATTTTAATTGTATATACACAAATGACTTTTCTCTTGATTACTTCTAAAATTTGAAAAATTTACATATTGTGATTTAGAACAACATATATAAGCGGTCAATATTGTTTTCGATTAGATCCATCAAGAGATGCACCTGTTAATGTTCTACGTGATAGACTGACTAGAGCAATCAAGAGAACGTTTTATGCAGCCGATCTCTGTCTGTTGTACTCGACCCGATCTATGGTAAATCCTCAACTAAAGGATAAGTTACCTGTTTATGTCACTTCTAAGTGTATCTACGAATTCAGCTACTTCTGTAGAGGAAGCTATTTTGGCGCACTACCAGACAACTGAGCCAAAGAGTTAGTGAACAACTCACTTTGTCGTTTGGAAAAGTTACTGTCAAGACAATACGGAGCTCGGTTCTATCACACTTGATCGATAGCGGTCATGTAGTAGGCAGAAATAAGTCATTTGAAGTTATTTATCGTATTCCTACCAGTTTTCCTTATGGGATTCGATCTTGTCACTTACATACAGCAAAAGCTATAGGAATTCCAGCCAACAACCCAAAACTTTGTGTTCATAAGAAATTTGTAACGCCTTTATCTCTCCCTCGATCTTAATAAATGATTTTATTTGTCATTATCCACACTCCTTCTTCGCTTATTTTTCTTCACACCTTCTCAACGTTCTCTTTTTTTCTCAAATATACGTTTCACTGTCCAATTATCTGAACACTCCTTATAACGTAATCTTTGGATTTTTATGAATGGTAATTCAGTGTCCATATTTTTCTAATCATTGACCTATTTCCGACTATGTGACACTGATTCAAGCCTTTATGATTCTTATCATTACTAGTACACCTGTCATCATACAACCAATTTGTACTTTTCACTTATCATGTTTGTTTATGTAATCCATTCCACTGTTATCATTGACTCATAAACTTCCTTGATTGTAAGCACTATGGATAGTGGTGAGCAGTGGAATCCAGTATGTGCGTTTTGTCCTATTTGGGACTAGTCAGCTGGATGTACCTGCATGTCAGAGTTGATATTCACTCCAATATCAAGACAATACGCACAGTATTCACATTTGCCAGTAAGAGACTGATCTATTACAGTCCTAAATATCAATGGAAAGATTCATGTAAATAATACCAAGTGAATTTGCCTTGATTAGTTTAATAATTTAGTATATGCATATAAATATTACTGTATATTAAAGTAAAGCGTGATGAGGATCTAATCGAAAACAATATTGTTCGCTTATATATGTTGCTCTACTTCTAAAATGACTATGACCTTACTTACTTACTTACGCCTGTTACTCCTCGTGAAGGAGCATAGGCCGCTCACCAGCATTCTCCATCCAACCCTGTCCTGGGCAATCCCTTCCAGCTCCTTCCAGCTGTTATTCATCCTTTTCATATCTGCTTCTATTATCCGACGTAGTGTGTTCTTTGGCCTTCCTCTTTTCCGTTTCCCTTCAGGATTCCAAGTTAGGGCTTGCCTCGTGATGCAGTTTGACGATTTGCGTAATGTATGTCCTATCCATTTCCATCGTCTTTTACTAATTTCCTCTTCAGCTAGAAGCTGGTTTGTTCTCTCCCACAGAACGCTGTTGCTGATGGTATCTGGCCAATGGATGTTGAGTATCTTGCGTAGACAGCTATTTATAAATACTTGTACTTTCTTGATTGTGGTTGTTGTAGTTCTCCAAGTTTCAGCTCCGTACAGTAGAATTGCCTTGACGTTCATGTTGAAGATTCTCACTTTGATATTGGTTGAAAGTTGTTTTGAGTTCCATATGTTCTTCAAATGTAGGAATGCGACCCTTGCTTTGCCAATCCTCGCATTTACGTCTGCATCTGAACCTCCTTGTTCATCGATGATGCTTCCTAGGTATGTGAAGGATTCTACATCTTCCAGAGTTTCACCATTAAGTGTGATTGGATTGCTGTTCTCCGCTTTGAATTTGAGGACCTTGGCCTTCCCCTTGTGTATGCTGAGGCCTACTGACGCAGAGACTGCTGCTACACTGGCTGTCTTTATATGCACCTGTTCGTGTGTATGCGATAGGAGGGACTATCACCTACCCGTCTATTTATATATAACGTTTGAAGCGGAATTAATCATCATTCATGTTTATGATGTTTCAGTTGCTGTATGCCGAATCATATCAATTTATACAGGCAGCCAAATGCATCATTGTATTTCTGAATATAACTTCTCTTGTTTGATCAAAGGAGAATAGTGACACAATAAGAATCTATGTTTTGCTATATTAAGTAGATACTGGTCAATATATCGATACAAATTTAAGTTCTCATCTATTATCCTCAATATTTTCAAACTTAATCTTCAACAATATAGCAAAATTTTTATATATGTACATACAGAAAAAGTCTGTTTAGCCTCTGAATTCGCTATGGCTTACCCCTCCTTAATTATTAAGCCTAACAAAATTTTCAGCTCCATTCATTAACTTCATTAAACATGATCTATCCATGCTAATCTGATTACCTAGTTTTCTTCTCACTTGTTTTATCAATTAAATATTGTCAATTTTACATATGAAACTAAACATTTATATTAGTTTCCTTAATTCTGAACTTTCTTAGTTCTTAATGCTACATAACAAATTGTTACATAAAACCACTTGACTTATTATACATCTGATTGTTGTGGACGTGAACTCAGATAGGGAAAACCAGTTTGTTGTTTCATGCCAAAATAATCAGTCACTTAAGTAAAATATGAAAACCATGTATTAAATACATAATTTGCACATCTTCCTTCAGATGTTTTCTACATAAATCATAGTTTCTACAATTCTGTTGTAAATACAACTGCTCTCTGATTCCATTCTATTCTCTTCATTGTAATCTTTCGTTGACAGACATTCCACTCTCCACTGCTTTAATATACTACTTAACTTTGTCAGCAGATGTAGCATACACCACATAATGAACTTCTAACTGATTACTATTGTAGAGAAAACATTAGTAAACTGACCATACTCACTATTGATTTCGTTTGGAACTGTACAACTTTTACATTAGAAGTAATTGAGAAATAGATCTAATCACTTAACTTGAATTGGCAATGAGTTTTTGGCGAATATTTATCACACTCAAGTTTGTAATTTGTGATCAGTTTTGATCATAGTCATGAACACCATATTAATTATGTTGTTTTATTTGTGCCTCAGAAACAATCGAAGAGACGAAGAAGAGAGAAGGTGGAACAGTGCCGAAAAAGACAATAGAAATAGGTAATGATATATGTATGCCTAATCGAAATTCCCTGAATCATGCCTTGATAAATTCGTTATTTATCAATTATGTTTTACTTTGTATCACAGAAACAATCGAAGAGACGAAGAAGAGAGAAGGTGGAACAGTGCCGAAAAAGACAATAGAAATAGGTAATGATATATGTATGCCTAACCGATATTCTCTCAATCATGTCTTGATAAATTCATTATTTTCATACAAGCTTCAGATACTAATTCTTTCTGTGTTGTTTGATGAATACCATATTTATATGAAAAGTGATAACTGAGTGCTCATATACTCATTTTTGTGTTCTCAATTAATAGACTAGGATTAATGAAGAATCAAATGATAGTGATATTGAAATCAATAAGTTGGAATGAACTCAATGTGTTTGAAATGTTTTAGAAATTGTTTTGACTATTAGACTGTTAACTGTCAGTTAAGACCAACTGATAAGTAATGGTTGATATTATTTTAATTGTATATACACAAATGACTTTTCTCTTGATTACTTCTAAAATTTGAAAAATTTACATATTGTGATTTAGAACAACATATATAAGCGGTCAATATTGTTTTCGATTAGATCCATCAAGAGATGCACCTGTTAATGTTCTACGTGATAGACTGACTAGAGCAATCAAGAGAACGTTTTATGCAGCCGATCTCTGTCTGTTGTACTCGACCCGATCTATGGTAAATCCTCAACTAAAGGATAAGTTACCTGTTTATGTCACTTCTAAGTGTATCTACGAATTCAGCTACTTCTGTAGAGGAAGCTATTTTGGCGCACTACCAGACAACTGAGCCAAAGAGTTAGTGAACAACTCACTTTGTCGTTTGGAAAAGTTACTGTCAAGACAATACGGAGCTCGGTTCTATCACACTTGATCGATAGCGGTCATGTAGTAGGCAGAAATAAGTCATTTGAAGTTATTTATCGTATTCCTACCAGTTTTCCTTATGGGATTCGATCTTGTCACTTACATACAGCAAAAGCTATAGGAATTCCAGCCAACAACCCAAAACTTTGTGTTCATAAGAAATTTGTAACGCCTTTATCTCTCCCTCGATCTTAATAAATGATTTTATTTGTCATTATCCACACTCCTTCTTCGCTTATTTTTCTTCACACCTTCTCAACGTTCTCTTTTTTTCTCAAATATACGTTTCACTGTCCAATTATCTGAACACTCCTTATAACGTAATCTTTGGATTTTTATGAATGGTAATTCAGTGTCCATATTTTTCTAATCATTGACCTATTTCCGACTATGTGACACTGATTCAAGCCTTTATGATTCTTATCATTACTAGTACACCTGTCATCATACAACCAATTTGTACTTTTCACTTATCATGTTTGTTTATGTAATCCATTCCACTGTTATCATTGACTCATAAACTTCCTTGATTGTAAGCAACTATGGATAGTGGTGAGCAGTGGAATCCAGTATGTGCGTTTTGTCCTATTTGGGACTAGTCAGCTGGATGTACCTGCATGTCAGAGTTGATATTCACTCCAATATCAAGACAATACGCACAGTATTCACATTTGCCAGTAAGAGACTGATCTATTACAGTCCTAAATATCAATGGAAAGATTCATGTAAATAATACCAAGTGAATTTGCCTTGATTAGTTTAATAATTTAGTATATGCATATAAATATTACTGTATATTAAAGTAAAGCGTGATGAGGATCTAATCGAAAACAATATTGTTCGCTTATATATGTTGCTCTACTTCTAAAATGACTATGACCTTACTTACTTACTTACGCCTGTTACTCCTCGTGAAGGAGCATAGGCCGCTCACCAGCATTCTCCATCCAACCCTGTCCTGGGCAATCCCTTCCAGCTCCTTCCAGCTGTTATTCATCCTTTTCATATCTGCTTCTATTATCCGACGTAGTGTGTTCTTTGGCCTTCCTCTTTTCCGTTTCCCTTCAGGATTCCAAGTTAGGGCTTGCCTCGTGATGCAGTTTGACGATTTGCGTAATGTATGTCCTATCCATTTCCATCGTCTTTTACTAATTTCCTCTTCAGCTAGAAGCTGGTTTGTTCTCTCCCACAGAACGCTGTTGCTGATGGTATCTGGCCAATGGATGTTGAGTATCTTGCGTAGACAGCTATTTATAAATACTTGTACTTTCTTGATTGTGGTTGTTGTAGTTCTCCAAGTTTCAGCTCCGTACAGTAGAATTGCCTTGACGTTCATGTTGAAGATTCTCACTTTGATATTGGTTGAAAGTTGTTTTGAGTTCCATATGTTCTTCAATGTAGGAATGCGACCCTTGCTTTGCCAATCCTCGCATTTACGTCTGCATCTGAACCTCCTTGTTCATCGATGATGCTTCCTAGGTATGTGAAGGATTCTACATCTTCCAGAGTTTCACCATTAAGTGTGATTGGATTGCTGTTCTCCGCTTTGAATTTGAGGACCTTGGCCTTCCCCTTGTGTATGCTGAGGCCTACTGACGCAGAGACTGCTGCTACACTGGCTGTCTTTATATGCACCTGTTCGTGTGTATGCGATAGGAGGGACTATCACCTACCCGTCTATTTATATATAACGTTTGAAGCGGAATTAATCATCATTCATGTTTATGATGTTTCAGTTGCTGTATGCCGAATCATATCAATTTATACAGGCAGCCAAATGCATCATTGTATTTCTGAATATAACTTCTCTTGTTTGATCAAAGGAGAATAGTGACACAATAAGAATCTATGTTTTGCTATATTAAGTAGATACTGGTCAATATATCGATACAAATTTAAGTTCTCATCTATTATCCTCAATATTTTCAAACTTAATCTTCAACAATATAGCAAAATTTTTATATATGTACATACAGAAAAAGTCTGTTTAGCCTCTGAATTCGCTATGGCTTACCCCTCCTTAATTATTAAGCCTAACAAAATTTTCAGCTCCATTCATTAACTTCATTAAACATGATCTATCCATGCTAATCTGATTACCTAGTTTTCTTCTCACTTGTTTTATCAATTAAATATTGTCAATTTTACATATGAAACTAAACATTTATATTAGTTTCCTTAATTCTGAACTTTCTTAGTTCTTAATGCTACATAACAAATTGTTACATAAAACCACTTGACTTATTATACATCTGATTGTTGTGGACGTGAACTCAGATAGGGAAAACCAGTTTGTTGTTTCATGCCAAAATAATCAGTCACTTAAGTAAAATATGAAAACCATGTATTAAATACATAATTTGCACATCTTCCTTCAGATGTTTTCTACATAAATCATAGTTTCTACAATTCTGTTGTAAATACAACTGCTCTCTGATTCCATTCTATTCTCTTCATTGTAATCTTTCGTTGACAGACATTCCACTCTCCACTGCTTTAATATACTACTTAACTTTGTCAGCAGATGTAGCATACACCACATAATGAACTTCTAACTGATTACTATTGTAGAGAAAACATTAGTAAACTGACCATACTCACTATTGATTTCGTTTGGAACTGTACAACTTTTACATTAGAAGTAATTGAGAAATAGATCTAATCACTTAACTTGAATTGGCAATGAGTTTTTGGCGAATATTTATCACACTCAAGTTTGTAATTTGTGATCAGTTTTGATCATAGTCATGAACACCATATTAATTATGTTGTTTTATTTGTGCCTCAGAAACAATCGAAGAGACGAAGAAGAGAGAAGGTGGAACAGTGCCGAAAAAGACAATAGAAATAGGTAATGATATATGTATGCCTAATCGAAATTCCCTGAATCATGCCTTGATAAATTCGTTATTTATCAATTATGTTTTACTTTGTATCACAGAAACAATCGAAGAGACGAAGAAGAGAGAAGGTGGAACAGTGCCGAAAAAGACAATAGAAATAGGTAATGATATATGTATGCCTAACCGATATTCTCTCAATCATGTCTTGATAAATTCATTATTTTCATACAAGCTTCAGATACTAATTCTTTCTGTGTTGTTTGATGAATACCATATTTATATGAAAAGTGATAACTGAGTGCTCATATACTCATTTTTGTGTTCTCAATTAATAGACTAGGATTAATGAAGAATCAAATGATAGTGATATTGAAATCAATAAGTTGGAATGAACTCAATGTGTTTGAAATGTTTTAGAAATTGTTTTGACTATTAGACTGTTAACTGTCAGTTAAGACCAACTGATAAGTAATGGTTGATATTGTTATAATAATAAAAAATGTAATGGGCGGTGGTTTTGGTATAGATTATAGTAATTTGAATAGTTGAGATCATGAGTCAGTTTATGTTAAACCACCATGGTAAACCTGGAAGCAGTGGATGGCTGTTTTATCCTAACATGTAATGATTGATAGCAACATTAATTATTTTTCATTTGTATGGTGTTTCAGTTGCTCTATGACATAATCAACAACACCATATCAATTATATTTTTTTTATTTATATCATAGAAACAATCGAAGAGACGAAGAAGAGAGAAGGTGGAACAGTCCCGAGAAAGACAATAGAAATAGGTAGTAACCTATCAATCGTTAAAATTTTTGGAGCTTATAATATTCATTAAGTTTTAAGCTTTTACTAAATATGAAGAAACACACTTACTGACAAAAGAAATCTTATTGATATAAATGACTACAGACGATTTTTATTATTCAGGGAAATAGTTCAAGGTTAATCTTCCTAAATTGTATTTTGTCACGATTTTGCAACATCTTGATTGTGGTATTGATTTATTTTTCAGAGACAGAAGATATTTTGAAAAAGAAAGGAGGAGGAATTCCTAGACGAATAATAGAAATTGGTAATAAAGTGTAATAATGCATTGAACATATCCTCATATATCCTCATTATACTATGGTATAATGATAATTTACTATTTCATTGTATTTTATGACTGACTTCTTGACAACAATGTTAAGGATATTATGAAGTATATTGATTGTCTGTGATCCTTTATTGTCAAAAGCAATAACATAAAGCAAAATAGATGATCATATAATAACTTCATTCTTGTTTTGTTTATTTGTATGTCAGAGACAGAAGAAACAAAGAAACGAGGTGGAACAGGACCAAGAAAGACAATAGAGATAGGTAATGACATATATTATTTGAACACATAGTTTTTTTTATGAAGATCTCTTTCATCTATTTTCAGTCACGTATCAAAATCTTTTGGGTGTTTATTACTCCATATATTTGGAGATAATACACATAGACATCTATTGTCTTTATTGTCATGTTCATCAGTCGGAGTGATATCAGGGAAATTAAATAATTAGAATACATAGCTCCAGTTCACATATTCAATGGAATATAATTTGGAGATATTTATTTTTATTGTTTGATGTATTTGTCATTTACTGTGGAAATAAGGCATTACATGTACTAAAGTAATTTAAACCTGATTCTGTCAAAGTTTACCAATACACACTGTCAGTGAATTCCAATGAAATGTATTCACATCACGCCTGCTCTGGTCATTTTATTTAATTTTTCAGAAACGGAAGTGGAAACAACAAAAAGGAAGGATATACCAATTCCAATCTAAAAATTCACACCTTTATACTTAGCGAATGTTATTTTTCAATAATTTGGGCTGATGTATCAACTCCTATGAGATAAACACTTTATCAGAGATGCTAGGTCGTTAAAACACAAGAATTCAATGATCTGACTATTTCCTTATCTGAGGTTATAAACTGATGATATTTAAAGCTCCTTATTTACCAGGCTAATCAATAGATCCCTATATCTTTTGGAACGATATTTCCTAGTTGAAAGTGGTCAACAGAAATAAACATTTGTGTAGCGGAACCTTTATAACTAAAAAATTAATGGAACATTTGTCTTATTTACTATAAATAATGAATGGTTTTAGTGTTAGTGTCTAATCAAGTGTGACTTTTAATCATTTTTCAGAAACTGTAGTAGAAGATAAGAAGAAAGGAGCCCCACGTATACCAAGAAGAATAGGAATAGGTAAGATCAAACTCTTATTTAACTTTCTTAATGCTTCTTTCTATCTTCTTTTATGGTGGCTCAACTTGGCTCCTCATTGAATTATTGAGTAATTTTCTTGTTTTATTATATATTACATTGTTATATGTGTATATAGCTTCTCTCCATGTTGAATGGAGAGATAAATCTTAAAATTGTGGAAATCTTTTCAATCTGTTAATAATTATATTACTAATTCACTATGATTAAATGCTAGTCCAGAATATATTTCAAGTTATACAATATGTTCGAGTCCCGTATGCGGTATTGTGGATGCGTACTACTGATGAGTCCCATACATGGATGAAATGACCATCCAGTGTTTCCAGGTTTTCAATGGTAGTCTAGCTTACATCAACTCATCAATTCAATGTGTAAAATCATTTTAATGTGTTTAACATTAGTGTTTGACATTATATTGTATATAATAATTTACTTATTTGGTGCATCGTTTATCTTTTATATTTTCATTTCTTATAGAAACTGTAGTGGAAACAATTAAAAAGGGAGTTCCACGTATTCCAAAACGTAGAATTGGAATAGGTAATCAGATATTTTTCGCATTAGTTTTGTTTCTTGTTCCTCTGAATTTATTCCAATTTCGAGTGTTAATTTACTATACATCTGATAAACATCTGATTGATAATATTTTATTTGAACGAAACCAAATATTCGATTAACAACAGTAATATAATTCATTACTATTATTATCCACACTGATTGTAATAAATAACTTTCTTATCACTAAAGTGCACTATTATTACATTGTTTCTATGTTTGTTTTTCTTTTGTTTGCATATCAGACTGTCATTTTCGTATTGCCTTAATTCACAAGTATTCTAAGCAAAGATGTATAGTGGCTAAGTAGATAATGCGATGGCGTTTGAAACGAAAGATACTAAGTTCAAGTCCTAGAGTGATTATCAACTCTGAGCTGCAAGTACATTCAGCTGACTAGTCCCAAACAGGATAAAATGCGCGTCTTGGATTCTACTGTTAGCCACTATCCATCTTTAATCCTTCGATTGTTCCCATAAAATAATATTCACTTTTTTATATGAATGTAAACTGAACTCTAACTAAGAGTTTGTATAAGTTATATACTTCTCTTAACCAATACTACATTAAAAAGATTTTGTTATATTGAAATTGTTTCTGTTCATTCCTTTATTTTATTTTTAATTTATTTTCTTTACACAGAAACTGTAGTGGATACAACAAAGAGAAAGAAGAAAATAGGTAATGGTTCAAGTCATTATTATTATAGTCACTGAACAAATATTAAGATTTATATTTTATTGAAATTCATTTACATATTGATTTCTATTTGTATGATACTAGATTTTTACTAGTATCATATTGAGATGGTGGAGAAATTTGTAGCTCAGGTGGATGATTTTGATAGAGTTTTGTTCTCTGAGCTGGATGGTTTGTTCGTGGAGCTTTCATCGTCCTTCTGAACGACATCATCAGACTTCTACCTGAAGTTTTTGCTGATGATGTCGTCTAGAAGAAAGATGAAAGCTCCACGACCAAACCATCCAGCTCAGAGAACAAAACTCTATCAAAATCATCCACCTGAGCTACAAATTTTCTCCACCATCTCAATATGATACTAGTAAAAGTTTTGTTCCTTTATTAAATATGATTCATATAATTAATTGGTTTGTACTGATTATACATAGATAAGCTGAAAAGAAAAATGAGATAAAATGGATACCAGTTAACACGAATAATCAAATGGATACAAAGTTATCTATAGCTTCACATCTTTCTTTCTACGAACTAATTCTTTCTTCCTGTAATATATCCTTAGATGCAATCTTTCTTTTATATATTACCACCACTGAATTAACTACTTATATGGACCCGGTGTTGATCTCGTTGTGTTAATGAGGTATGGCAATTTGGACCAATGCACATATGTACCTGATCCTAAGTTGTAGCTAACTGACTGACAGAATTTTATTTTGTACGTGGTTATGTAACACTTTTTTTTCATATTTTTAGATAAGGTCGTAGACACAGTCAAAGTTTTATTCCGACCACCAAAACGAAAACCAGTAGTCATGCGTAGAGGTAGTATTTCTTAATATATAATTTTATTTGAAATTATTCATACGAATATGTATGATTTATCGGTGAGACTATAATTTTTGGACGACATTTGAGCGATGCCAAAGTGATCTCGAGAGTGTTAATCTAATAACGAGGACCAAATGAGGGTTATCAACTAGCGTGGGGAATCAGAATTATGATTTACAGTTGATAGTTAGAGTTAGGAATTAGATTTCGGGTTTTCATCACAAATTGGCATCAGCTATGATGTCGAAACTCTATTTATTCAAATGAATGAGTGAATTTTGTGCCAAAATCCAAGATTTGTTATCTCAAGTCTGATTGGTTCGTCCATATATTATAGTCTCACCGATTTATCTCTTAAAATGATTTTTTTTACTTTTAAAGAAAATAAGCACACTGAGAAATTTTGAATTTCGGTATTTTATTAGTAGATTTTTTGATAAATAATCATTCTCTAATGTTTCATATATGATCTCAATGATACAACAACAAAAAAGTAAGCTTAAATACACTGAGATCCAATTTTCCTCATAGTTTAATCTAGAATTATACGGCACAACTTCTAGATTACTAATACTGAATGATTACAGCCTAGTTAAGAGCCTGGTGAGAGACTGATAGGTCCTGCATTCAAATCCCGTGAAGCGGGGTCGGGGATGCGCACTGCTGAGGAGCCCCACAATAGGATGAAACGGTTATCCAGTGCTTCCAGGTTTTCCATGATGGTCTAGTCTCAATTGCCTCATGATCTCAAATATTGAGATTACTACAATCTCCACAAAACCCCTTCTGATACTTATATATATTTTTTAATTTTCAATCAATTTAGGAAGCTCTAATAACTTTCTTAAAATACAAAGAATTGGTTTACAAAACCGGTTATTTTGAAATATAATTCACAATGGAACAGGAGTCAAACGACAAACTATCATTCTTGGATGTATTAATCACTAGAACCGATTCAGGAAACTGGAGACTAAAGTATATAGGAAGTTAACCCACACAGATCAAATTCTCAACTACAGTAGCAACAACCCAAGAGCTCACAAAATCAACTGAGTACAAACTTTATTCAAGAGGGCGAAGAAACATTGCAACACACTGGCAGCACGAGAAAATGAAGAGAAATACCTGAAGACCATCTTTCAAAAGAAATGCTACCCAATCAACTTCATCAAAAAACACCAGCTTCATGCATCATCAGAAACAAATTCAAGTACAGAAGTCAACAAACGGATCACCCTACCATGCATAAAAGGCATATCAGAAACTACGACAATGATGAAACCCTATGGAATAGGTGTTGCAAACAAACCAACATAATCACTACAATCACCCCTATGGAAACTAAAGGATGAAATGATAAAAGAAAAAAACCAAACATCGTCTACAAAACAAATTGTGCCAACTTTGAAAAACGCGACATCGTACAAAGTGGACGCCCTCTTCATCTTTGCTTGCATGAACACCAATTAGCGTTCAAACGCCATGACGTGTCCTCAAATGTATCAATGCACGTGAACTACTGCGGACAAACATTCGACTGGAAGAAAATGTGGAAATTTTAGATAGAGGCAATTCCAAAAAGACCAGATAATTTTTAGAAGCTTGGCACTCAGGTCAATCAGTAATCAACAAGCACGTTGAAATCGATCCAATTAATCAACCAATCAGGAAAATTATAGACAAATATTCGACCAAAAATCAAACCGATGGGAGATACAACCACGGCAAAGAAGTAAACAATGACAAGTTTAAGATCAACAACAGCCAATCAACATCGAAGTCTACAGGACAAGCTGTGAACGACATGTGGAGAGATTCGAACACTTCACTTCTATCTGAAGTTTATGCTGATGATGTCGTTTGGAAGAACGATGAAAGCTCCACGACCAAACCATCCAGCTCAGAGAACAAATCTCCATTAAAACCTTAATGTAATAAGTGGAAACTAATCCCTTCAATGTTACTGACTCGTTTTTACTCATCATTAATGTAAGTAACTTAAATCTCTACAAAACTATAAAATACAGAGCCAAAATCGAAATCTTGCACATAAATTAACAAGATGAGCAAGCTATTGTTAAGAGAAACTGAACACAAAGATATTATATACTTAGTATTCGACTTAGAACAGTGGTTCACATAGTGCTTTTCTGTTTCACTCAATTGGATACAATTGCCCATAAACTGAATTGTAGATTTATGAATTGACATCTTTTTAACTAATTGCTGTAAATCTGTCTGTTTACTTGATTTTTAGGTGGGGGTATTAAGGTACATGTTGGAGGGAGAAGGCGATGTGGTGGTGGCATTAGAATACGTCGAGGAGGATGTTGTAGAGTTGGTGGAGGCTGTAGGGCTCGTGGATGTTGCCGAGTTCGTGCATGCTGCAGGACTCGCACATGTCGCCGTGCTGGTGGATGTTGTCGCGTTGGCGGGTGCTGCCGAGCTCGTTGCTGGAGTGGCAACTTATAAGGACTGTTATTTTCTACACATCATTCAATGGAGTTCCGTTGTTCATATATATGCTACATATAATTGTTATTTAAATAATTTGTAGCAGTTTTGAGTTACTGGTTAATAAAGCAACAATTCATTTTAAAGTACTTGGAGCTTTTTTATTTGATAAAATAATAAAATATCCAAAATGGAAATCGACGAATTTAGTGGTTACCAGTATAGATCATAACCCTTGATCATCCTGAAAGAAATCAATCCACAAAATGACCATAATACTTATAAACTGGATACCACAATATGTGCATAAATACATATTAGAACTTAACATTCCTCAGTAAGTTTCTTACGACAATCAACAACATTATCACTGATCACCGAGTTATCAAAAATCTTTTGGAACACTTATTAGATGATCTAAGGTAATACAGAGCTATTTTGTAAACTTGCTACAATCTCGCATATTAGCTTGCCGTTTGCTATGAAATCTAATTAAAAAGAAAAGTTAAAGAAACATATCCCTCCATACACACCGATTATGCATACTAGTCCCACCCTGCACAGTTTGAGACCACCTTGTTAGGCTTGGGACTAGTGCGATTTTCGTTATGATTGATGACGATATCCCAGACAATTAGGATATGCTTATTTCTCGTGAAAGTATTTATGATGTACATGAAGATGGATGAAACAATGAGGGTCAAAATCCATTTTAAAGAACAAAGAAAATTGTGTTTATCAACGAAATATGGTTGAGAGGCAGGATACTATGAGAAAATAGGAACATATTGTTTGCACATAAATGAAGCAGATGTATGATCCTTTTGTGTATTTGTCCGCATGTGTGTATGTTTGGTTGTGGAAATTCTCTTCACGTATGGATTTGATATGAAAATAAACCTTCGTTTCGATTCCTTCACTGCAATATTCTGTTTGCGTTTTCACTCCAAGTAAAATTATTATTATTCATTTAACATACAATTTTGTTTTGCTTATTGTACTACTATTACAATTAAGAGTATTTGGAAGCAGTATGTTAACCATTAATACATAGGGCTGTTCTATTCGTACTCTGGTAGTCACGTATGGATCAGTATTCAAGTCAAAGAGAATTATGTGGGCAAAGTCCAGAGTAATGTATTCGGAATTCAAAGCAAGAGTGGAATAGCATACAAAGGGATCATTGTTGTATACAAATATCACGTTTACCTTATTCATTGGCTTCTACTAAGTTCATTTTTTTCCACTTCTGCTATACTGACTCTTTGTTTCTCAACTATTGCCACGTGAAATTATGGGAATAAATTACTTTATAATGGTAATATAATATTTCCAGGTTGTTGGGAGTGTTTCACTTTTTAATGAAAAGGTAACTCACATTCATTCTACGTGGATTTGTAGTGACTCACGTTTATCACGAGAACACGACTGGTTTAATAAAAACAATTATTATTATAACCAACTGTACCAGTGTTTGTTTTAACGTGCTTTTGTTTGACTGTGCTAATGACAGCTATTTTGTGCTTCCATTCTTATACTTACACTTCGATTGTAACTTCGCGCGAATTCGGTTACCTTCTGTAACCAAGGTTGTATCCTGGCACGATCTCGGTATCCTTTCGATGCCACGAGATCGCCAGCTAATAAACCTCGACTTGGTCCATTAATTGCCTTCTGGTATTCGGCTTCTCGGGATTTTATGGAGTCATTTGGAACGAGCTTCTTACGCCTTCTGATCTATTTGGCACGTGTTTCTTGGTAGCGGTGTTCATAGTTAATCACAACTCGACGCCACGCTACATTGGTGATCCCAAAGTTTGGAACACGCCTCAACTTCTGATCAAATCTTCCAAAGAAGCCAATTCGGTGAGTCTATGATTTATCTATCCACGTCTGTCGTATATTTTCATATTTTTTAATATATAATATACGCGACATGACGGATAACGATAAGAATAGTATTAATATAATAGACTCACATGTATGTGTACCGAATCCTTGTTACTTTTTATTCGCGTGACGATGAATTCCACGCTTTATTCGAGAAAGTTTCCCCTATTAACTGTTCTCCTCGCTGACCCGGCTGCTTGGTACGGAATGCATACGCATAAGCATATCTGTCTACCACCCAGCACCAAATGGTTAAGTAAACGGTTTCACTGCCAACTTAAAAGTGCTATACGAGCACACGAAAACGGCAACTGGCACGAAACCTTACCGCTCGTTCTTTTAGGGATCACAACGAGCTTGAAGGCAGATATACAATGTTCCGCCGCTGAACTTGTATACGGCACGACATTGCGTCTGCCCGGAGAATTCTTCACACCACGGAGCAGACCTAATTTCGGTAAATCAGACTACGTCCATCGACTGTCTGCATTTATGCGAACGCTGTCTCCGGTGTCAACTCGAATACAACATCGACAGGTCGCTCTCCCTCGAGAGTTATCTACCTGTTCACATGTTTTCATACGAGTAGATTCGGTACGCAAACCTTGGCAACAACCTTACGAAGGCCCTTTTCACGTGATCGCTCGTCACGAAAAGACCTTCAAGGTTGATCGATATGGACGCGTCGAGATCGTCAGCATTGATCGTCTCAAACCAGCACACGTCGATGACAGTGCCCTATCTGATAACCTGAGATTCAATGCTAGACCTAGCAAACCTACTAGCGGGATCCTCAAATCATCTTCAGGTCCCACGCTAGATACATCTGAGACCTCATTCTCACGTCCCAGTCAACAGCACGCGTCATCTGCACCGTCTACGGATGAGACGACAGTCTCACGTCCAGATCAGCAGACCACGCCGCCCTTGACTTCGGATGAGATTGCAGGCTCACGCGACGCGAACGAGACTACCGTCTCACGTTCCGGTCGCCGAGTACGGTTACCCGTACGCTTCCGCGACTAGCCGCACAGTTAACAAACGATACGGTGTAGGATTATTCCTATACTACACGCATGCTACACTCTTCTCTTTTTTGATTTTCTTTTTGTTTCCTGAGCCCACGCCTTCGACCATCTCCGTTTGGTTCCGTCGACTTCAGTCAACTTTGGCGAAAGCTGGCCTGATCACCCACGCTCTTGTCAACGTACTCAGTCGATATCTTGGTTTCGAATGCTTGGCACACGCTTGGTCTCGAACTTGGTCGTTATGGTCGCTTCTGGTTCATCGGCTCAACGTGGTTTCGTCCTACGTCTGCAGCGTTTCTGGTCCGGACCCCTACGAACGCCATCTTCAGATTCTGGATACAAACCACTCTGGTGTAGCATGCCAACTCAAGCAATAAATACAACACATCGCTCCTGGTACCGTTCTCCGAAAACGACCTTCGTTGGCAACTCGACGATCAACGATCGCTTTCCTGTTCGCCAATTCTTCCGTCCTACAATCGCTCGTCAGCCGATCAGTCCCACGATTCAAACCGCTATTTATCGAAAGTGTAAACCCTTTCTAGCGGGGGGCTCCTGTAGTGACTCACGTTTATCACGAGAACACGACTGGTTTAATAAAAACAATTATTATTATAACCAACTGTACCAGTGTTTGTTTTAACGTGCTTTTGTTTGACTGTGCTAATGACAGCTATTTTGTGCTTCCATTCTTATACTTACACTTCGATTGTAACTTCGCGCGAATTCGGTTACCTTCTGTAACCAAGGTTGTATCCTGGCACGATCTCGGTATCCTTTCGATGCCACGAGATCGCCAGCTAATAAACCTCGACTTGGTCCATTAATTGCCTTCTGGTATTCGGCTTCTCGGGATTTTATGGAGTCATTTGGAACGAGCTTCTTACGCCTTCTGATCTATTTGGCACGTGTTTCTTGGTAGCGGTGTTCATAGTTAATCACAACTCGACACCACGCTACAGATTAACTAATAGATTTTGTACTGAATTCATGAACTGATCTAAGTTCCACCACAACTGGAAACCTGGAAGAACTAGACGGTATTTTTTAACGCAGTATGAGTCCCCTTAACAGGACACATCCACTAACCCTCATGCGGAATCAAACCCAAGAACTCCAACCTCACCTGCAAACGCTTAATCTGTAGAACAATAGGCTGGCATCCAACTATGTTAATTCTTAACCTCAATCAATTCACAACATTTAGTGTCTAATGTTTAACTAGAAATTATAAGAAATCTATATGACAACAATTTGAAAGCTAAAACAAACAATCTATTATTTGCGCTAAGATATATACTTGATAAGGAAAATGATAATGTCAGAGATGGATTAATTTTATTTCTAAATAAAACAAGTAGAAACAACAGGTTTTCTTGGAAATCAGATTAGGGAAATGAAGAGACTGTGTGATTTCCAGGGATGATTTAAGGTGAAATTATAGCAATATTTGTGGAGTCCTGGAATCCAGTTCATAGGATCTGCAATAACTTAGCGCAGACTAACTTCAGAGAAAACATTTAGAGGTACTGACAAGAAATATTTTCCAATACAAAAACGTTGGAGAGAGATTTTCGGAAGTCATAGAGACATTTACCATCACTATGATTTTCATAATATCCAATAATGCTTTTGTTCAGTAGCACCATGGAACATGTTTTTGACTTGTAATACTTTATGAATACCCAAAGCAGTTGTAAGCAGTAACAACACAACAGGTTGGACGCACATGCTGGGAGCTATTATTGTAACGGTTTCCGAATACGCTCGTTTATATTATCTTTTAATCTTCTACATTGTTTACATCATTAACTGAAACTCTCAAATTGCCATGGTCAAAAACGTTTGCGTTAAATTTCAATGAGAGGTTTTACAATATTTGACATACTGATAAAATTCTATGTTGCTTGAGAATGTTCAAGTTCTCCTTGTTTAAAGAGCATATTTTTACACTAAGTGAACAAGAATACAATCAGTAAAATTTTCTGACTATCCAAGTGTGATAATCAAGAGTATTTGAATTATAGTACGAACTAAGAATCCCAGAAATAACGTCTGTCCGACATTGTATTGGGAAAAAACTCTGTTATCTAGAATGCA